AGTTGATGATGAAAAAAAGCATTGTTAAAATTAACTACACTCCTACAATACCGCACTGCAGCATGGCTACTCTAATAGGTCTATCCATCCGTGTAAAATTAATCAGGACTTTAGCTTCAAGATTCAAAGTTACTGTAGAAATCACACCTGGGACCCATGCTTCTGAACATGCTATTAATAAACAATTAGCCGATAAAGAACGAGTGGCTGCAGCTATGGAAAATAAGCATTTGTCAGGGGTCATAGATCAGTGTATATGCTTTGATGATACGACTAGAGATAATAAAGTAATTGAAGATGTTGTCGATGGTATGAAAAGACAAGTTTTTGGAGAAACTTATGAGTTGCTGGATAAATTGAATGTAAAAGTTGATACTGTGGGGAAGTATGATTTTTTGAAAGAGTCTGACCCACAATTGTATAGAGATTTTATATTTTTGGAAAATGTTAATGAAGATTTGGTTAATAGATTAAAAACAAGGCATGTGGAAAAGCCTAAAGTTACAGAGAAGGATATTTTGGCAGATTTAGAGTACTTAATGGCGTGTTGAAATGATACTATAATTGGAGACATTATGAATGACTTTATATTTATACAGCTAAATATTAAATCTAATTTTTGTTTAAGTACTGCGTTTAATGTTTTTATTTTAAATTTGAATATTCATTTAACTTCAGGAATATGAACTATTACTTACGACGTTATACTTAAAATTTGCTAATATATGTTTAAATTTATGTGAGTGAATTAGACTTATTACAGTAAAAATTTGAAACAAAAACAATCTTAAGCTTAATAATAAATTTGTTATACAAGTGCCAATAATTAAAAAAAAATAGACAGATTCTTTGAATAATATTAATATAGTGTTTCAAAATTAAAGTGTTGAGATTCTTTTTAAGGAATCCTTTAAATCTCTGACCTGAGAATATAGTTGAGATGATAAAAATCTTGAATTTCCATTTTCCAAAGTATCATAGAAAGTTTCAAAAATTGGACAATATTGTAATTGGCAATAGATAATTATATGAAAATTTTTCTACATCGAGTTAAAAGAAGTTGCTAGCTTGAGGATTTTATAGTTAAATTTCTTATATTACCAAAGTGATTACCAAAAATATTCAAGGAAATTTATTGGCAAAAAAGATTCCCACAAATGGATAAAGAACTAAAGGATAAAATTATTAACTATGCTTTTTGCAGTTTGAATATATTCTTCAGAGATGAAGAAAATCCTCACAGTTGTATTCCATATTTAAAGAAGTCAATTCAAACAGTCAGTTTTTACATAATTTAGGTACTATTATGTTGAATATGATTGTCTCAGTTTAAGTCCTAAAAATTAGAAACCGAAGAGGATTTCAAATGGATGTTGTTAAGGTAAGAGAGTTGATCTTATTATTTATTTTATTATTTGTATAAAAAGACAATTACAGTTTTATCATCAGAATCAATGATACTAAAACTGAATTATGTATAAACTTTATTATTTTTTGTATGTACATGAATACCACACATGAATTTCATGTGCAATACATTTATTGTTTAGTGCTATACGAAGTGGTACTACTTGCTAAAGGTTTTTGTGCTGGTCTCGGTTTCGTAGGATCGTATTTATAAGTTTTCTGAACAACTGCTCGTCCTGCTCTCCTAAATCGCATTTCATCAGCCCTTGCCCTTTCTTCTAACTCTCGTGTTATTTTCATATTTGTCCAGGCTTAAATCAATAACATATTTGTCACTTATTTAATTTAAATGTACAATTAAATTATTCTTACATTCTTTAATTCCTTTCACAAAACCTTTATCCTTCATGGGTAAAGATGTTGCAGGATGATGTACTAAGGCATCTATTTTGAAATATGCACGAACTTTTGGAATCTTCAGAAATGCTACCTGCAATTTTGTAAAATTATAATATTTTTGTAACATTTAATAAATTGACCAACAATTTACCTGTGCTAGTGATATGAAATTACTGCAAGTCCAGTACCACAGGATAGCCCCTGGAAAATTAACTGTGAATGGCAGAATAAACACAGGCAAAGCTCTCAATACATATTTCATTATCTGCATATTCTGTGCGTTCAGCCTGGCACTATCCGCACCGACTTCTATCGTCAACCACATTGTGGTACTTGTAATAATAGGTAGCAAATAAAATGGATCTGACACTGTAAGATTTGAAAACCAAAACAAACCCCCGTCTTTTAAACTTTCTACAGGCGCATTTGCCATGCCTCTTAAGCCCATGAAGAAGGATATGAACAATGGGGCTTGTGCTAAGGGCACTAACATATTTTTTAATGGATTCAATTGTTTATCACGCATAAACATCATCATTTCTTGGCTGTACCTTGCAGCATCCAAAGCATTGCCGGTTTGTCTAGCTTCTGTCATTTTCAGTTGCAATGCTTGAAGTTCAGGCATGTAGTTGTTCATTTTAGCAGCATTACGTTGTGCTAATATAACAAGTGGAAACAATAAAGACCTCACAACGACAGTACCTAAAGCGATTGCTGCATACCATGGCATGTCTAGCCCTATATGTAAAAATTCCATACAATTCTGTACTAAGCCCACTGGAGTCCAACCGCCTAAACCTATACTGGCAAAAGTTGGCTCGGTGAGTGTTACAGCCTTTTCTACAAATTCAGCTGTAGGTATCGGCGGGGGCTCTGGGATTTTGTCTAGTAAAGATGTTGTTACATCAATTTTATCGGTGCTAGCATAACGCACTCCTGCAATACTGGGTATAAATATACTGTTTTGGAACAATTTTGAGCCCCCATTGTGATTCCTTTGTTGATAATTACTCTTTATACTTGCTGAATGTAAGTGTCTGCAGATTTTTGGTGTAAAATGTGTAACCTGTGGATAATGGAGAGGTTAGAATTTTAGAAATATATGAAACTACTGATTTATAGACCTTGACGTGTACGAGACAGCATGTTGTACCGTTTTTTAAAACTTCTAGGTATCGCGACATGTTTATTTTTTATGTAAAATTAATATATTTCTTATTTATTTTAATTCACATTCTATTTTGTAAGAGCGATGCCAACATAAGGATGAGAGAAAACTGTCAAGTCAAGATCAAGTGCCATTGCGGCACATATTCTCAAACTGTTTTGAAACATAAAAATTCATGCAAAAAGTGCAAATATTAACAAATCATTTGCATTTCCCCTTTTACCTGTTTTTAATTGTTCTATTTATTGATCAATATTTTACACAAATTATCAATTTAGTCGCAGTGCTTTTATCAACAAATGGGGCGTTCAAAAATATTCCAAAACAGTATACTTCACCCAGATTGCAACAGTGCGTTATGCAAGCACTAAAAAGTGCTTTGCGATATATATATATATTGAACAAATCTCGATACTATTTTTCCGAAGTTTATGATTTTGCCTGAAAATTCTTGCTAAAGATTTGCAAATTCTATGTTTCAGAATAGTTTGACACCCAAATTGGTAAATACAGTGAATATCTGCCATTTTTTAAACATGCTGCACCTTTTTCAAAAATTTAAAAGCCATTGATTGCACGACGATTAGCCAAGTATAAGCATAAATAAAAGAAGAGTATATAATATTGTATATAATATAATAGAGTATATATAAGAATGAGTATAAGTATTATAGCTATTTGTTACAGATGTTTGAATATATAAATATATTCAGAATGACTGGAACATAAGGCAAGCAAAAAGGATTTTCTGGCAAAAACAAACTTAACCTTCGGGAAATTAACAAATTCTCGGACATCATACAATATTTTCAGACAAACTACAATTTGCAGACAATCTATAAAATTTTCGGACTACATTTTAATACTAACTATTGCTAGAGTCGAACTACTGATTTCTGCATCTAAAGACGCATTAGAAGTTTCACTTTAATAAACCCCCATTGCATTCAAATTTGTTTCAAATCAATATCAAATATCAACTTGTTCCATATATATGTTCCATTTAATTGGATCCCATCCAATTAATTAATCTCTTAATTACTGATCCGTATCCAATTATGTTTTCTATTGGCACAAATGGCCCCCCGCAGCCCCAAACTCTCTCCTAGGGCCCTGTTAAATAACACGTGTGAACTTTTAATTAATGACGGGGACGAAAAGTTGGGCAAAAAGTTTGTCGCCTCCGGAATTCGGAAATTAGCGTAAATTGAACCGTAATAGGAAATTGTTCTGGTTTCTGTACACGAAAAGTTTTACCTCATCAATATGATAAATGGTAAATGGTAAATGGTAAATGGTAAATGTCACTTTCAAAACTAAAAAATGTTCATATAGATAATTGTTATAAGTAAAATAGGTGTGAATGGAGTTTTGGCCTAATAAGTAGTACTTGATCAATAACAATCGAAGTTTAGACAACTTTTGAAGTTGCACTTATAATCATCATACACCTAAATGTGTATATTTTAATAACAAATACTAAAATCGATGGGTTTTCTAACAAAATTTTTTGTTAAGAGTGATTCCAGTCTAAATGAGTTTTTTGTTAACAATATCTTACAATCGGAAAGCATTTTTATGAGCTCTGCAGAATGTACCATTTGTACTATAATTTTGTAATTCAGACATAATCTAAAAGTATCTATTTTACAACAAAAACTGCAATCGATGGGTCTTTTAACAAAATTTTGAGTTTTGAGAGATTTCAGCCAAATTCTGTTTTTTGTGAACAATATTTTACCATCGGATGACATTTTTATGAGCTCTGCAGGACGTACCGTTTCTACTATAATTTTGTAATTCAGACATAGTATATCTAATAGCAAATACTAAAATCGACAAGTTTTCCAATAATCTACATATATATAAAAATAAGTCGGGTTAAACTTCCTGACAATAGAACGCACGAACCGATTTCGACAATTTTGCATTCGTTGGAAAGGTCTCGGGCTCCGCAAGGTTTAAAGCTAAGAATTGGTGGTGCATGGCATCGTGCCTTAATGCAAATTGCTGGTACTTTACGCACCGTAATTAAAAATTCGAGTAATGACATTAGTGAGAATCTTCAGAATTATGTTTGGTTAAGTCAACGAGCAATTTTTGCCGCAAAGAATAATTATGTACACGCACTTAATTTCACCATTCAATCAAAAATTGCTGGCGATTTGGTGACATACCAATGATTCCGACTGGTCTTCCGTTTGAGTTCAAACGATTGCAATTTCCAGTTCGCAATAACAAGTCGCAAGGCTATTCGCTTAGTGTTTGCGGGATAAATTTTAAATAGATTATTTAGAAAATCATTGTTTTTCACATGGGCAGTTATACGTTGCCTGTTCACGAGTTGGAATACCATCCGCTTTCTTTGTGTTAACGTCAGACCAAAAAACATAAAATGTGGTTTACCAAAGAGCACTTCAATAAAACGGATAATTTGCGAATTCACTTTCATTTACTTAGAGAAGTTCAACTAAAAAATAGTTTATTTTGCAATCGAACTAAATTCATTACTGTTGTGTAATAAAATCAAATTTTTCCTTTTCAAATATTAAACGAACAAAAAATTTCTTCATTTTT